TTGAATGTCTTCTTTGGTGAAGTGTCTGTTCATTTCCTTTGCCCATTTTTTAATAGGATTATTTGTCTTTTTGTTGTAGAGGTGTTGGATTTTTCAAGAAAAGTTTTAAACGCAGAAGAAAACATTCTGTGATGGTTACGAGGGAGGGGAGGGGAGGAGAGGGGAATTCACTAACTAGATAGTAGACAAGAATCATCTTAGGTGAAGGGAAAGATAACACACAATACAGGGGAAGTCAGCACAACTGGACTAAACCAAAAGCTAAGAATTTCCCCCAACACAACCAAACACTTTGAGGGACAGAGTAGCTGGGGCAGGGGGCTGGGAACCATGGTTTTGGGGGACATCTAGGTCAATTGGCATAACAGACTTAAGAAAATATTCTGCATCCCGCTTTGGTGAGTGGCATGTAGGGTCTCAAAAGCTTGTGAACGGCCATCTAAGATGCATCAATTGGTCCCAAACCACTTGGAGCAAAGGAGAATGAAGAACACCAAAGACACAAGGAAAATATTAGCCCAAGAGACAAAGGGCCACATAAACCAGAGATGCCATTAGCCTGAGACCAGAAGAACTAGCGGGTGCTAGGCTACCACCAATGACTGCCCTGACAGGGAATGCAACAGAGTCCCTGACGGAGCAGGAGAAAAGTGGGGTGCAGAACTCAAATTCTAGTAGAAAGACCACACTTAATGGTCTGAGTCTGGAGGAAGCCCTGAAGCCATGGCCTCCGGATGCTTTGTTAACCCAGAACTAAAACCACTCCTGAAGCCCACTCTTCAGACAAAGATTAAACTGCACTATAAAACATTAAATAATAGTCATGAAGAGTGTGCTTCTTATTTCAAGCAGATACAAGAGACCAAATGGGCAACTCCTGTCCAGAGGGAGGTTGAGAATATAGGAAGGGACAGGAGCTGGTTGGAAGGCTATGGAAAACCTGGGGTGGAAAGGGGGAGTGTGCTGTCACATTACAGGGATTACAACTAGTGTCACATAACAATATGTGTATAAATTTTTGTATGAGAAATTAACTTGAGCTGTAAAGTTTCATCTAAAGCACAATTTAAAAAAAAAAAAAGTGTACTGAATATACCATGGACTGCCAGAAGAACAAACAAATCTGTCTTGGAAGAAGTAACCTGAATGCTCCTTAGAAGCAAAGATAGCAAGACTTTGTCTCAGGTACTTTGGACATGTTATCAGGAGGGACCAGTCCCTGAAGAAGGACATCAAGCTTGGAAAAGCAGAGTCAGCACAAAAGAGGAAGACTATCAATGACATGGATTGACACAGTGGCTTCAACAACGGGCCCAAGCATAACAACAATTGTGAGGACGGTGCAGGACCCAGCAGTGTTTTGTTCTGTTGTACATAGGGTTGCTATGAGTTGGAACCAACTCTATGGCACCTAACAATGACAACAATGTTTTTGACAGCCATCCATGTTGATATTGTTCATTACTTTCCACTGTTCTGTAGTACCCTTTTGCATTAAGGTATCCCAACTTATTTAGCCACTCCTCTTTCCATGCTGGGTTGTTTCCAGTTTTCTTGCTCTACAAACAACATTACTATGAACATCTTTGTACAATGTGCAAGAGTTTCTGCAATGATGGGAATGTTTTCTGACTGCACTATCCAGTGTGAAGTTACTAGCCACATGTGACAAATGGAAAAGTGAAATGTGGCTAGTGCAATGGAGAGACTGGATTTTTAATTAATTTAAATCTAACTAGCACAGCTCTAGAATATATAAACCCAGGGGTATAGTTGCTGAGTCGTAAGATACACACAGCTTCACCCTCACTTGGTAATACTAAGTTTTTTGCATTCAACATTTCTCTTTTTTCGAGTCTCTCTCATCAGTACAAGGCTTTATTATAGTCTTACTTAGTGAGTTAGACCTTTTCCACACTGAAGAAAATGCTGTTATCTTGGGTTGCCTCTGCTCCATATTTTTCTTATAAACTGGGACAGATCACTTCTTTTTTGACTTTGAAAGTTTCTCATCTATAGAGTAGGGATGTGTGGGGAAGGATGAAGGTGGTTAATGGTAAACAGAAACTTAAGATAACATCCAGGAGTATTGCATTTTACATTCATGATGATTGACTTTTAAATGCATAATTTGCAAAAGACAAAGGCTGCCATTTCCTCATCTTGACTGGAGTTTGAAGTTGACTTACTCATGCTTCATGTGAGAAAGCCTCATGTAGAGTACCATTAGTCTGATAGAACCAGCATCAGCACATGTGGTATTTTACCCAGGAATACTGATACATGAATGGGGAACTATAAAAAAGTCTGTTCACAGGTGGTTTCATGGCCAGGTCAGTGATTGTCCATTTGTTTCTGCCTCTCCACAGAAAAGTCTGGACACCTACTGTTTCCTGGTCTTTGCTGCAATCTGCATCGCAGGTGCTGTCTACTTCTATTTTGTCCTGCCTGAAACCAAAAACAGAACCCACGCAGAAATCCGTCAGGACTTTGCCAAAAGGAACAAGGCATACCCACCAGAGGAGAAAATTGACTCAGTTTTAAGTGATAAGATCAACAGAAGTCCTGAACCTGGCTCTTCCTCCACACTGGATAATTATACCAAAAACAGGATTGTCTAGATGGATGATTTTGCCATTTGAAGAAACCAACGATTTCCCTGTTTTTGGAAGGCTGAAACTGACTGGAGCCATGTAAGCGTAACATTATTAAGTATTTAAACGTAGATTTGTACATGCTAATCTGACATCACCACTACTTAGGCTTTATTCATAGCTGAATCTCCAAATTCTTCTGCAAGCTGAAAACAACTGCCCTATCTTTCAGTATACCCTATATTCTTCTATATGGTTTGATGGACTGCCTTCTTCATATCTTAACCTCTGGTTTCAGAATGAAATTGGGGAAATAGTATTTGAATGCTTTCTCAAAGGAAAACCATGTGGCTTGATTGACTCAATGAACTAGTTCCTGAAGCCTCAGTGGACCCTTAGCTTTTATCCTGGATGAAAGTTTCCAGTATTTGGTGGAAAGACTCTTAGTACCTCCTAGTAAATGCCTGTTAACAATCTTTTGCTCTGCCTTGCTGACCTCAGGCTTAGGAGAGCCTGATACCAACCCAACATCCTCCAGGTTCTGTCTTTGTCAGGCTGTCCCGTGGGATTTAAGACTTCCAGCTCCAAAGCTATCTTCATCTCAGAGGATTAGATTTCTGTGTGCTCATAGGAGGTGTAATGAGGATCAATATGTGGAAGACCTAGAGAAGCAGATATAAGAGGTAACTTTCCAGTAACTGGCACAGGGACTGCAAATTGAACTCTGTTCAGTTGAGAATGATTCCGAGGCTAAGCGTAGGCTTGGTGAGAAGGAACGCTGTGATTGATTGGCAAGGTCTGCCACAGGTGCAGAAGTGAGAATGTCAGCACATGTATCTCATGTTTGCCAAGTCTAGAAGAGATTTATCTGAAAATATAATGAGCTGCCTTGCAAGATGGCAAGATGGTGAGTAAACCATCACTCAAAGTACAAGGGCTGGATGATCACTTGACTGTAGGTAGGGAAACACAAGCATTTATTTTGGAAGAAGAGGGTTGGACTACATAATGTTTAAGGTCTCTTCCAGCCTTAACGTTCTATGGATGTTTTGGTTGGAACAACTTGCAGCCTGCCATTGTAAAGTATGCCTTGTTGTTTAGGTGATTCCTTATACTTACCTCTAGAATAAAAGAAACTCAGAGTGCCCATAAGTAAATGAAAGTGAACCTGAATTATCACCAGTGTGTTTGAGTTTAGTTTGTTACAGCAGAAGGAGTGGGACCAGAGAGGAAAGGCTTTGGCCCTAGCAACATGATTGGAATCCTTCTAGCTATAATCTCTTCAGTCTTCTCTGGTCATTCTTGACAAAGACAGCCCAACCAAAACTTAAATTCTGATTTTCCTTGCTTGCTGACCATTCTTTCATCTTTGGACCTCTCCTTTTGTTGACTGCCAACTTAATGCCCTATATTATCCAACTTCTGTTTGGCTGGACAATTTGGACAGTGTTTCTCAATATGGAGAGAAAGTGATATGCGAGTACAAAAACTTCCTGAGCCAGCGGAGCCAAATAAAGTGTAAATTAGAAATCTGAGCTTCTGAATGTTCTCTTGAATTTTGACACTTGAGTATCAGTCAATAAATGTTTATTAGGTACCTACCATGTACCAGGCATGTTGGTAGGCACTGAGGTTACATTAGAGAGCAAAAAATGCACTGCCCTTAAACAACAGCTCATGTCAGGAAGAGGAAGCCAGTTGCCATCAAGTTGACCCTAACTCATGATGACCCCTTGCGTGTCAGAGTAGAACTGTGCTCCATGGGATTTTAAATGGCTGATTTTTTGGAAGTAGATCGACAGGTCTTTTTTCCAAGGTGTCTCTGTGTGTACTCGAACGACCAACTTTTTGGTTAGCAGCTGAGCCATTAACTATTTGCACCACTTAGGGACTCCATCTACCAGAGAAGATAGAGAATTGAATAAGCATTAACAGTAAACTGTCATCAGTACTAAAGAAGGAGAGGACACAGTGATATAAGAACACGTAATTGGACCACCTAATCTGGGGTTGGAGTGAGAGATGAGAATCAGGAAAGCCCTCCAAATAAATGACACAAATAGAATGAGGAAGAACATGACTATCAGATAATAGGCTAGAAATTATTCTGATATGTTATTACCTTTAAAAGATAGTAGAACAACATTACGGAGATTTTTGAAAAGTGAAACAATAAACCTGTGATCTCATATGCTTTGTTCTCCCTAACACTATAATTTTACTTTTTATACATCTCTGTATATTTCTTGTCTATATCAAGTTGCAATCACAAAATACATAAAGCACAATTACAACCATCTTGTTTCTTCTATTTTTTTCACTTTATATTATATCAAATGCATCATCTCAATTCCAAAGCCTTTTTATTCATACTTTAATATCCACTGCAGTGAATTCTTCATGTACAGAATCGTTTTTTAGATTCTGAAAGATAATTGGGGGATGTGAATCAGAGAAACAGACTTTTCCATGAGCCTTGCCATACAGGCTCTAGTTATCTGCTGAAAGGTACTAACCATATACAGCATCCTGTATCTATACATGAACCCTAAAGGAATAGCTACTCAAATCAATAGGCCTCTTCTCCTAACTCCTGTGTAAGTGTTAAGGATTAAGCCCTGGTCTTAGTATTGTACTTATTCTTTCATCTGACAGCCATGAATTTTGACATTTCCTCTTTTCAGGTTCACTGTAAAAAAAAATAATAATAACTTTCCCAGCTCCCAGTTTTGGATAAAATTAAATATTCCCACTCCACTCTGTATCTCCCACTGATTACAACTAAAAACTCTGGTCAGAATACATAAAGCAATTATATGAGGACGCAAAAAAATAAATTACAGCTAGCAAACTGAGAAGGTAAATCAAAACTCAAAGAACAACTGATATGACAATGAGTTTTCTGTGTTTTTTTTTTTCTCCCATACCCGTGGCTCATACTCCAGAACAGACCAACCAAAAACCTATTGCTGTTGAGTCAATTCTGACTCATAGTGATGCTCTAGGACAGAGTAGAACTGCCCCATAGGGTTTCCAAGGAGCAGCTGGTAGATTTGAACTCCCAACCTTTTTGGTTAGCAGCCTAAACACTTAACCATTACACCACAAGTGCTCTCCAGGACAAACAGACCAGTTCCCAGAAATTCGCAGTGGACATGGACAGAAAAAGCTCCAAGAGAAACCCTCCCTATTTGGCCTGAGGGGTGTCCTCTTCTCTTAATCTCTTTACTTTTGTGGCCCTGTCCCAAGGCAAGTCCTGGTCATGAAGCTGTACTCATATGGTAGCAACAGCAGTGGTCACATAGCACCTAAAAATCTGAGAAAAACGTTTCTATGTGATGAGAGGAACAGATAAAAAGTCTCTGTGGTCCAACCAATGTGGAGGAGTACCCCTTGTTTTGTTGTTTTGTTTGTTTGCTTGTTTGTTTTTAGTTTTGTTTTTCTTCTATCAGTGCTTCACCTCAGATATAAACCCAGTTGCCAGAAGTGTGGAACACAATGGAGGTGTAAAACTTTGTATTTCCAGCCAGAAGACCAGGAAAAGTGATAACTGGGGACTAGAGAGTGTAGGGGGAATCACAGAGAAAAGAGTGAAGAAAAGGATACCATAAATCTGTGTATGAAGTCCTGGACTCATTTGTGAGCAGCACATGCATAAAACTGACTAGAAGCGGTAGAGCAAAACCTTTGAGAACTGAAATATAATGTAGACCACTACACAGGTCCAAACTGGCCCATGGGTAGCACACACCCAAGGTGGACCCAAATACCACTGCAAAGACTTTGAAAATTAAATTGAAATTAAAGTCCACAGAACATGGGTCTAGACTTGCAGTCTGCACATGACCAGGTTTATTACCTGCTAATGAGAAAAAAAGATAAACAATGTCTAAAAGTTTTTTTTTAATAGGACACAGAGTCTCTTGGTATAATATTCAAAGTGTCCAAAATACCATCCAAAATTACATGACATATGAAGAATGAGGAAAATCTCAACAACTTTCAAGGAAAATGACAATCAACAAACGTCAACCCCAATATGGCCAAGAAACTTAGCTATTACATCCTACTTTATGATGTAACAGTGAACACTCTTGAAATGAATGGAAAGATAGACATTCTCAGAAAAAATAATCAAAATTATATTTTAAAATGAAAATTTTAGAACTGAAAATGCAATAACAAATTAAAAATTAACTGTGCCTTATCAGTACCAGAATGGAGATGACAGAGGAAGGAATAAGTTAACTTGAAGCTAGATCAATCTGAATTATCCACTCTGAGCAACAAAAAGAAAAGAGTAAAAAATGAGCAGAGCTTTAGGGACTTGTGAGACAATATCAAAAAGTCTTAAGATTTATATCACTGATGTCCCAGAAGGAGAGGAGAAAGATATTGGTGCAGAAAAGAATATTTAAAGAAATAGTGACTGAACATTTCCCAAATTTGATGAAAGACATAAATTTATGGATTCAAGAAGCTCATGAACCCTGCAGAGAATAAATGAAGTAAACCACTCCAGAGACATCAAAAGCAAACTGATGAAAAGCAAATATAAAGAAAAAAAAAATCTTGAAATCAGCCAGAGCAAATCCACACATTATACAGGGGAAAAGTTAATTAGAATAACTGCAGATTTCTCATCAGAAACCATGTAGGCCAGAAGAGAGTGGAACAATGTTTCAATATTTTTTTAATGCTGAAAGAAAGAACTGTTGACTCCGATTTTATATCAGCAGAAATATCTTTCAGAAATGAAGGTGAAATAAAGACATTCCAGATGAAGAAAAACTAACAGTTGTTGACAGTTTACTTTTTCTAAAGTAAATGTTAAAGAAAATTCTACTAGTGAAAAGGAAATGATACCAGAGAAAAACTTAGAACTTCAGGAATGAGAAAAGACTGACAATGGTAAATATCTGAATGAATTTAACATATTGTTTTCCTCCTCTTAAATTCTATAAAATATGTAAGACTGACTAATTAAAAAAGATAGCATTGTCTGATAGGGTGTCCAATTTATACAAATATAACACATATCTCAACTACAAAATAAATGAGAGGAGGGTAAAAGGACCTATAAAACTGTATGGTTTCTGCATTTCACTTGAAGTGGTAAAATATTAACTCTGAATAGACTGTGAAAAGTTGGCTGTTATATGTACAGCAAAGCTTAGAGCAGCCACTTAGGCTATACAAAAATAAAATGTACAAAAAGTTGAGATAAATTAAAATGGGACAATAAAAAATATTCAAATGCTCCAGAAGAAATAAGGAAAAGGGAAAGAAAAAAAAGGGAACAAAAAGAGAAAACAAAAATAAAATATAGCTCTTAAACCAAACATATCAATAATTACATTCAATGTAAATGGTATACATACATTAAGTAAAAGACAGAGATTGGCAGTTTGTATTTTTAAAAAAACATAACTGTATGCTGCTTGTAAGAAACCCACATTAAATATAATGATATAGATAGAATAAAAGTAAAAGGGTAAGAAAAGAGATAATATGCACACTTGAATCAAAATAAAGCTGTCATAGCTATATTAATATCAGAAAAAGTAGACTTTAAAGCAAGTTAAATTAACAGGCATAAAGAGGAACATTGCGTAATGATAAGGGGTCAATTCACCAAGAACCCATTGCCATCAAGTTGATTCCAACTCATAGTGACCCTATAGGACAGAGTAGAACTGCCCCATAGGGTTTCCACGGAGCGCCTGGTGGATTCAAACTGCCGACCTTTTGGTTAACAGCCAAGCTCTTAACCACTGCATCACCAGGGCTCCTAAGAACTGTTAGTTGCATTTTTTTACCTGTAACTGTAAATATTCTTGGCTGACAAAGTGTCCCAACCCAGATCAGCCATTATTAGGTTACAAGCCTTGGTTGTTTCTCCTCACAGACCTTTTGAAGAACTTCTCTATTCCTCCTCTCCTCAGAATTCCAAGAGTGCTGACTTTTAATTCCACACATGTAGCACCTTTTAGTCTCTTTATGGCACACAGTAGGACCTAGACTATTGCCTTTATTGGAGGAAGGGCCGAATGAAAGAATGTGGATGTAGTGACAGGAGCCACCCATCTTAGACCATTAAGTTAGGGGTCAATCCCTAGGGTGCAGGGCAGTGAATTGGAAAGATTCTGGGTCTGAGCTTCATGCAGTAGAATTGCCCTAATAGCCCTGAGCTGCGTACCTCTGACCTTTGCTTGTAAGAGTCAAAACTCCTATCTTGTTTAAAGCATTCTTATTTGGGATTTCTCTTACTCATGACTAAACCTAGACTCAGTTCATACAGGCCATGACAGGAAAGAGCACTAGGAAAATGAGAATATCTGAAGCAAATCCAATTCTTTAGACACTCAGCATTTGTTTCTCTGGGCTCCTCCAGGTTAAAGGAATGCGGTTGAACTCATGATTCTCCATTCACAGTAGCTTGGAGCTACTGTGGAGCTGTCCCTGGTGCTGGTCTGGGCTTTCTGATCTGGAAACTTCATTTCAAATTTGCAACATACTTTCACATTATTGCATGGGATGCTCAGAATAACCTGTGAAGTAAATATTATTGGACTCATTTTACATGATCTAAAGTCTGTTCTTCCGTCTCCAAATCCAGCTAAGTTTAATGGTCCTTCCTTTACATTACCAGTTGCCATCGAGTCGACTTTGACTTATGATGACCCCATGTGTATCAAAGTAGAACTGTACTCCACTGGGTTTTCAATGGCTGATTATTACTATTGCCAGCCCTTTCTTCTGAGGTTCCTCTGGGGGAACTTGAACTCACAATATTTTGGTTAGCAGCCAAGTGCATTAACCATTTGCACCAACCAGAGACTCCACATAGCTGAAAGGCTACATTTTCTCATTATTAAGTTAGTTACTTAGCACTGCTTAGACATAAAGCCCATGAACAAAATGATAATCAATAACTCCTGGAGTAATGACTTATTCAATCATCCCCCAAACATTTACTGAGCACCTGCTATGCACCTGTGCTAGGTAATGACGATACAAAAATGGATGAAACCAACCACTACCTTCAAGGAGTTGAAAATAATGTGTGTGAGGAGTGGGGGGCAGACAGACCCACTGATAGCCAGCATAAGTTTGGTGCTCCCTCTGTGCATAATGCCTTTCCCTCTTATTTACTTGAATAATTTCTGTTCATCTTTAATGACTATACTAAGGCACCCCTGACTCTGGAACTTTTTCTATGATTCCTTCTTTCCTTTTGACTCCCACGGAAGCCTGTGCTCATCATTACTGAGGGATTTATCACTGCGTTGGATTGTTGTGGATTTATTTTTTTACTTGCCTATCTTCCCCTCCAGTCTCTCAGCTTCTTAACCACAAGAACATTTCTGATTCCTCTCAGGACCCCAAGCTCCTGGCACTTGGTAAGTGCTCATTACATATTTATTGAACAAATGAATGCCATGATAAAGATATAAAGAGGATGTGATGGGAGCCCTGAAGAAGGGGTGACTATGGCTGGAAGTGATTAGGACGGGCGGCCCTGAGTGAAAACATGGGAGCTGCATCTCAAATGAGGATTAGTATTTCATCAGACAGACAGGGGAGAGAGGGAGGAAGGATTCCAGACAAAAGGGCCAAAGACATGGGAATTACCAAGTAAATGGTATAATTATAGATCAGCAAACTATCGGTGTGGCCAAACATGGCAGATATGAGGGTGAGAGTGTGAGATAAAGGTAGTAGGTTGTCTTCGTTATCTAGTGCTGCTCTATCAGAAATATCACACGTGGGTGGGCTTAAAAAACAAAAAATTTATTTTCTCACAGTTTAGGAGGTAAGAAGTTCAAATACAGAATGCCCGCTCTAGGGGAAGTCTCTCTCTGTCCACTCTGAGGGAAGATCCTTATCTCAGCTTCTCTAGTATTCTTCTCACTTTCCTTGGAGCTCTCCATGTGGCATCTAGCTTTCTATGTTTTTTGTGTGTGCTTGTTTCTCTGGCTAATCTGTTCCTTTTATATCTCAACTACACAGATATGGCCTCATTGACATAACGAAGAAAACCCTATTCCCAGATGGAATTACATTCATAGGTATAGGGGTTAAAATTTACAACACATTTTGGGAAGACACAATTTAGTTCATAATATAGGTGGTTTTGTTCTAGACTGTGCAAAACCATGAGTGCCATGCCAACACCCCTTCCTAAATATGCCTGGGACCAAGTCTGCCTCCATAACTTCTACCTAAGGCTGACCACAGGTCTATGTAGAAATCGCCCAACTCTGATGCTGCTCTTACCTGAAGAAATGAGGGGACTGCCTGAGGCCAGATCATTCTAATCAGCCTTCTTCTCCTTTATTTTCCACTGAGCATTCATTAGCTGGTTGTGAACCCCAAAGAAAGGAGGTTGCGTTGAGTGATAGGGACCAGCAGCTGCTCACAGGCAGTTTCAGACACATTTGCTGTAATTTACACGAAAATGTGGATGTAATTATCCCTATCGGAATCACTTCCCCTGGCAAATGTGTACATAAAGTCAAGTAAACTTCCTCTCATTAAATCACAGCATTTGGGGACTGCAGTTTGTCCTAGCCATCAGCCAGAGCTTGGAAGTAATAAAGGTGAAGAAAAAGAAACAACATCTTGGGTTCTCAGCAGGCAGTGTGGGTGTTGAGGATGGAGACAGTCTTTCAGAAGTGTGTTGGAAGCCCAAACCTCCAGCAGTTCCATGGCTGTGTGTCTCTGAAATTTAGAGCAAGTGTAAAAATGTGGCACTTCTCAGCTACTCACAACCTCACTAATTGAGGATTCATCCCATGTAAGATGTAGATGCAGAAACAACATCCAAAAGAAAGCATTTTCGGTGATGGGAAAAGATACTTCAGAAACTGGCTTGTGGTATCATCCCATGAACAAAAAGAAAAATAAATATTTTTGTGCTGGAACTATGCTGAGTGTTTTCACACATAGGCTCCTCTTTGGTTCTCACGACAACACTGCAGAGTAGGATAGACACTCTCATACTGCCCATTTCTTTTTCTTCTTGACATTTAACACAATTTTAATTAAATAACTTGGAATGAAGACTGGGGGACTGGATATTACCTGCTGGATCACCAGCATTCACCACAGTTCCTTGCATGTTGCTGTGGTTTTTAGCTCCTGTTGAGTCCATCCTCAACTCATGGAGACCCCATGCACAACGGAATGAAATGCTGCCTGGTCCTGCACCAGACCATTGTGATTCATAGGGTTTTCATTGGCTGATTTTTGGAAGTAGTTCACCAGGCCTTTCTTCCTAGTCTGTCTTAGACTGGAAGCTCTGCTGAAGCCTGTTTAGCATCACAGCAACACACAAGCCTCCACTGACAGATGGGTGGTGGCTGCTCGTGAGGTGCACTGGCCAGGAATTGAACCTGGGTCTCCCGCATGAAAGGCAAGAATTTAACCACTGAGCTACCAATGCCCCCTCCTTGAACATGACAAGTGATAAATAATTGCTAAATGAATAATTTGTGAATAAATTAATACATAAAAATCAACGATTGTTGAGAGATAAAAGAACTAACTTTAAAGAGACTGGAAGTCTCCCAGACTAGTAAAATTTGGTAGAAACTTAATTGCATTTAATAACACACCCTGAAAATGACCGTGTATCAGTTAGGGCCCTTTCAGTTGCTGGCAACAAAATCCTAACTCACCCTAGTTTTAAAAAAAATAAGGTTCTAACTCTGTCGCTCTCACCTCTTGGTTCTGCTTGTCTCTGCCTGGCTTTATTCTTCAGACAAGTTTCTCAGTTTGGCAGCCTCCAGTAGCCCCAGCATTGTCTTAGCTTGGCAACCCCAATGGGGAGAAAATTTCTCTCTCCCAATGTATCAGGACATCATGCTCCATAGTGTAGAGAGTCAGCAAAAAAGAGGAAGACCCTCAACGAGATGGATTAACACAGTGGCTGCAACAATGGGCTCAAACATAGCAACGATTGTGAGGATGGCGCAGGACCAGGCAATGTTTCGTTCTGTTGTACACAGGTTAGTTATGAGTTGGAACCAACTCATGGGCACCTCACAACAACAGCAATATATCAGGTTATCTATTGCTGTGTAACAAATCCATCTCAAATATTTTTTGCTCCAAATTCTGTGGGTCACAATTTGGGCAAGACTCAACTAGGCCATTATTTGGCTCCATGTGGTGTCCTCTGAGCTCTCTATGGCTTTTGGGGTCAGTTGGTGTCAGCTGGGGGCTGTTGGTCACAGACATCCTTGCTTATGTCTAGGACCTCAGCTGGGATGGCCAGAATAGCTTGGATGTCTGGGCCCCTCGCTAGCTGGCCTCTCCCAGCATGAAGTACCTGAATCACAAGGAGGTTTGAGCGTGGCTTGCTCTCAAGGTAGCAGTGCTCCGAGAAAACCAGAACAGGACCTGCAGAGCTCTTAAGGCTCAGAGTCCACACAACATCTCTTCCACCACATTCAGTTGGTCAAATCAAATTACAGGACCAGCCTAGATTCAAACCCATTGCCAACAAGTCGATTCCAACTCATAGCCACCCTGTAGGACAGGGTGGAACTGCCTGGATTCAGGGGAGGTAAATAGCCTCCAACTCTTGATAGGAGGAGGTTTAAGTCATGTTGCGAAGGAGCACATGGGATGAGAGGATAAGTAGTCATCACACACTGATGCTACCAGTTGCCCTCAAGTAGATTCTGACTCCTGGTAACCCCATGTGAGTCAGAGTAGAACAGTGCTCCATAAAGTTTTCAATAGCTGATTTTTTGGAAAAATATTACCAAGCCCCTCCTCTGAGCTGCCTGTGGGTGGACTCAAACTGCCAACCTTTTGGTTAGCAGCCAAGCACTTAACTGTTTCTGCCACCCAGGGACTCCATGCTGATACTTGGTACTGGGAATGTGAGGAAGCAAACGGCATGCTCTGAGCTGCGAAAGAACTCAGTTCAGTGGGGAGACAGATAAACAGGCCAGTCTGTGATAAGTGTCAAATGGGATTTGGGAGCTCCATGAGGAGCACCTGGCACAGTCTTAGCAGGGAAGGTGGTGAAGATCAGGAATGGTGCCCCGGGGGAGGTGATGAATCAACTGAACTTTGAAGGCATGTAGGGATATATGGACGTGCACAGGAATGTAGAGATGTAGGGATGCAGAAACATGCACAAGAAGTGTAGAGGTGTACGGGCATTCAGAAAGAATGTAGGGACAAGCACAAGGAGTGTAAGGACATGCACAAGGAGTGTAGGGACATGCACAGGGAGTGTAGGTGTGTAGGGACGTGCACAGGGAGTGTAGGTGTGTAGGGACATGCACAAGGAGTGTCGGTGTGTAGGGGCATGCACAGAGGGTGTAGGTGTGTAGG